GACAGGGTTGAGATGACTTTGAAACACAGATGGGGAAATGTCAAGGAGGAAATTGGATACATGAGAGTTAAGGAAACAGATCTGGACCAGGGTTAGAAATTTGGGAGTCCTCAGCTTTTAGATGGCATTTAAAGCCACAAGAAAAAAAAAAAAAAAAAAAGAAAGAAAGAAAGATACTATCTTTGGTTAAGATAAATAAGAGTTAAAGAACTGAGTAGCTCATCCCACTCAGAGACATACATGGAGTTTCCTGACAACTCGGTGATTTATATATTTTAACGTGCAAAGTTACCAATTGGAAGTTTGCTAAAATGCAAATTCCTGGGCTCAAGCCCAGAGATCCAGGCAATTCGAATGTAGCATAGTCCAAGAACCAAACTTTGAAAAACACCAATTTACAGAACTGAAAGCAAATATATCAAATAAAACATGTGCTTATGGAAATGACAATTCCTTTGTTTTGTTTTTTTAAAGAGAGGATATGAGGCAATAATTCTTTAATGGTTCTTAAAAGTACAAGGTTGAGAGAACATACTCAAACTGAAATAGAAGAAAAAGGTACCCAACAGGAATGATGCCTTGATTTGGTGAAGACAGAATGACATATGATACAACACTTAGATAGCTCAGCTAGGGCAAGGCTTGGACTGATTATTATACTAAAGGAAGGTCTATTGACAACTGAGAGGACCACCTCTTACTCCAACTCCATTACAGGAATGAGAAGTGTCATCAGGTGAATCCTGTGGCCAAAGTCTTTGTCAATGTTTCCAAGGCTTACTGCCTTGTCTCTCAGATACGTGGATAGATTTGGCCTTCAGATTCTTAAAAAAGAGAGCCTTATTCTTCTGCTACCGAATTTAACAACTGGATTAAACATCTAGGATGCAGAGGATAACAGAAACACTGAAGAAACAGGGAATAGGTCCTGACCCCCAGATGGGTGTTTGGCGTGTTGATGAGCATATGGGAATATTCCTCAGAAAATCTGGAAGAGCTGGAAAGGACAAAGAAGAAAGAGGGAAAAGCTATCATTTATCTCATGTCATGCTGGGATTATGACCCATGGTGCATCTAGGTCTTTTCTGATTAGAATAAACAGTGATACAATTCCCTACCTTAAAGCAAAAACAGCTGAAGCAATACGACATCTTTCACAAATGGGGAGCATGGGCTACAGATGAATATTTTTCAGTCCCAGTATGTCAAATACAGGATATTTAATTGCTTGCTTAGGGATGTAGTATTAATCACATTCTTTGGAAAGTTTTTTTATTTTTTAAGCTCACAAAAGCCTATAGCTCTCTTGGGATTTGTGGTTATCATGCTGGAAAGCTATTAGAAGAAGGCTCTGATTTGAACAAAAGCTCCATGAAAAATACTAAAAAGGCCAGAGAGATGAATTGTTTTGCAAGGGTCCCTTTTGGAATGCTAGAGATTAAACCGAGTCCTGGGGAAGTGGGGGGTGGGGTGGGGAATCAAAATTAGCAGAATATAACATCAAGGTACTTGGACACTTTGATGTCATGGTGTCAAGGCGATATGGTGCCAACGAGAGGGTTACTAAACACCATGTTGAAGGAAAAAATAAAAGCAGCTTAGAAAGAATACTGTTCTTAATGAATTCAATGAAAGTGACATGTAATGACAACAAATGCTGAGACTCTATGTCCACGTTTGAGAAGAGACTGATAACTGGATTGAACACCTAAGATGTAGAGAACAGGAACATGGAAGAAATAGGCAATAGGTTCCACCCCTAGATTTTCCTGCTTCTCCCTTCTCTGTCATTGAGTAGCTACAATTCCCACAGCAATCAGCACTAAATACAGTCCTACTTTGTGCAGGAGACATTTTATTTATATTAAATCTAATCTTAAAACTCCTCCTGCATTATCTTCCACATTAGCATTACAGTGAGAGAATGGAGGCCCAGAGAGGTTAAGTATCTTTGTCAAGGCTACACAGCTAGGAAAAAACAGAGCTGGGGTTTGAATTCAGGTGTGCCTGGTTCTAAAGCTGCCATTCTTTTCATGGAATCAAGCAATCTTTGTTAGTGCTGTGAAGATGTAAGTATTTATCTTTAGCAGTATTCGTGTACCTCTCTTCTCAGCATCTCCTTAATTTTTCATTTTCAAGTAGGAAAAAATGTTTAAAATAAAAAGAAGAGTCTAACCTGATGTCTAAGTTTGATGGCCTAACTGTTGCTTACAGAGATGAACCACTGTGTTCCTTTTTCGTTTTATTATTTCTGGGCTGCTGGGATCGCTGTTATCATCTGCTCTGAAGCATCATCAACCCTAACTCCTTAAAACTCAGGCCCTAGTATGAATGCTTCAGTGTGACACATTAGAATTTTGTTTAAGGGAGCTAAATACATCTGGCATGTGTAATTTTGACCTCCTTAAGTTAATAAGCAAAAAGAATGTTCTGAACCATGCTTTTCGTCCTATAATTACAATGATTCGGTGTTTCGAATTCAATTTAATGACTTCTCACACTGAAAGTAAAGGAGACAAAACTGGACACTTGCCATAGCGACTGATTGCACTGTCATAATAGAGCTGCAAGGCAGTACAAATGGCATGTGGGTAGTAGTTGAGCTTTAAGTCCATGTAAAATCAAAAGAATTAGGGAAATTTCAAATACACAAAAGGCATCAAATGCACAAAGGCTCTCCCAGATGAAGCACTGTGAAATGCCATACCTCTAGCTTCTCATTTGGGAAGAGGGTTAGTAGTGAGCCTTGGAATGTTCCTCAACTAGGTTCTTTTCTTTCTATGACATTGTAGGAAAATTTTCCCTCCAGACAGGTGAGCAGGGGGACTGGCATTCAGGAGTCCCCCACCCACCTTGGCTGCAATTGAGTTGCTGCTCTGGCCTGAGGAGAGGAGACAAAAGGGAGCTGTTCCCATGAGCCTCTGAGCTGGAACCCACAATGGCATTCAACTTGACCAGGCTGTGCTTGAAAGTGGTAGAAATACATCAATATGCCTGCTCGGAAGGGAATAACATGGAAAATAGGAAAATCTATCTTTTCAATGTTTCAGTCTATTATGTTCAATTTGGTGTTGATGGTGGTTGATGGTGATAGTGAATCCTCAAGGGACTGTTAAAAATACTTTAAAATGTTTTTCTGGGCTTCAAAATATGCAACAAGATCTTCCTTATATCACTTAAATGTTTACAAGCACTTGATATCGATATAATTGTTATTTCATTGCCTTTCTCCTCCATATGCTATAAACACTATGAAGGCAGGTGCCACTTATCTTGCTCATCATTCTTTCTTTAGCATCATCTACAACGTTTGGCACATAGTAAGTAACCAATCAATTGCCCCATACTGTAAATGAATGCATGAATGAACAAACAAATGAATTATATAATGATCATGATTGTTTCAGATACTATTTGTGGCAAATTCTTAGAATAATTATCATCTTTATATGTGTATAACTACCAGTTTTCTTGAAGATGTTATTGATCATTTCTTTTTTAAAAAAAATATATTTTATTGATTTTTTTACAGAGAGGAAGGGAGAAGGATAGAGAGAAATATTGATGAGAGAGAAACATTGACCAGCTGCCTCCTGCATAGCCCCTATTGGGGATGTGCCCGCAACTGAGGTATATGCCCTTGGCTGGAATTGAACCTGGGACCCTTCAGTCCACAGCCGACACTCTATCCACTGAGCCAAACTGGTCAGGGTGATCATTTCTTGTTGACAAAATGTATGTTGGTAAAATGTTGCTAAAGTTCATGAAAAGAAGCAGTACTGTTATAACACAACTCTTACCCAACAGTACTTCCCACTGTCCTTTGATAATACAGTAGTATAGTAGAGTGGAAAGGGCATGTAAAAATGCCAATTATTATTGGAGTGAAATATAAATTCAATCATTCCATTGTTTGAAATACCTGACAGTTTCAACAATTGGAAATACTGACTAAAATTAGGGTTTATTCAGTAAAAATAATGATAATTGTTAGCATCCAACTTTACTTTTACACTTCTTAT